ACCGCTGCCCGTATGGACGACACGTGCGACAAGATGAGAGCTGAAATAAAAACCCTACGCGGAGAAATTGAAGCAATCAAAAAGCAATCAATGTATCCTCCTCCCCAAACTTTCACACCGCTCTCATCACCCTCCACCACTCCCACCACGCCAATTATCATCAGTTCCGTGACGGTCCCTCCATCATCCACTAATACACCCCTCACCGCCCCCACAATTCCCTCGGTCCCTCCACCACCAAATCCATCCACGGCTCCGCCCACTCAAGCTCCAATTATCATTCCTGATGGTACCATCATTGTACCTTCGCCCACCGGAATCCCACCACCCCGGTCGTTTATCACTCTGTTGGAAACATTCCTCCTCCTAAATTCCTACCAAACTTGGATACAGCAGAGAATTTTTTGAATAAGTTGGAAGGATTCATGCGGCGCAAACGGCTCGATCCCATGGACTGGATTCTTATGCTTCCGTCGGTTTTCTCATCTGACCGCAAGCAAAGTACATGGTGGCAGCGTACCAAATTAGTTGCTCAAACATGGGGAGAATTCAAATCCCACTTCATCATCATGTACGGAACGGACTCTGACAAGATGAATTCACTTGAGAAGCTCCTCAACCGTCGCCAAAGGGACAATGAAGACTTTCATACTTTTGCACTGCAAATGGACATGCAGTACCGAAAAGTTTACAACGTGGCTCCCCTTGCAAATGAGTCCGAAGTATTGCAATTCGTCTCCGAACGTGCGCTCCCTCATCTCCGGATCCCTCTTCTCGGTTGTGGTGCTTCCACCTTCGTTGAACTCATCAATTTCGGGAAGAAAATTCAGACCGCCACCGACATTGACAAGCGCCCCTCCAAGTCTTCACCCACCCCCATCAAGAATGGACATAAATCCAACAACGGAGGTGACAAGGCTGAGGGACAATCCTCATCATCAAAATCCCACCCCACCGCCAAGAACGACAACAAATCAGGCAACTTTTCCCGGCGCACTTTCACTTGCGCCAATTGCCCTGGATCCACTTCCCACAGTACTTCACGCTGCTTCAAGGGAAAACAACAGGCCAACGTCGTCCGGCAGGCACAAGGATCTGAGGTCTCGGGAAACGGAGAGGAGGAGTAGACATTGGCGGGTGTGTCATCTCTCATCCTTTACTATTTAACCCGAAACGAATCATTCCTCAAATAAATTTAAATACTTTTTTTGGTTCTTTTTCTGCTTTAGTTGATAGTGGTAGTACAATCTCAGTAGTATCTCGGTCCATCCTTCCTAAACACATTAAACTTTCTAAATGGGTACACGGACCGGTACTCATGCTCGACAATACCGAAGCTTTCCCCAGTAGTACTATAAGACTTAAAGTGACCCTTGAATCTCGTTCATTTTTTCATGATTTCGCGGTGATGGAATCTTCTCACCACTTTCTTTTGGGCACTGATTTTCAACACCACTGCGGATTTGCTTTTGACATGTGTGATCTGGTGTGGGGATTTTCGGACACTTTTTGTAAAACTAGATATCCTCTCAAGGTAGTTCATACGTCCGCTCACACCACACACAATCTAATTCTCTTGTCTGATTTTGAGCAAGATGAGATCAAGGAATTGCTTAAACGATTCCCTGATGTCATCGATGCTCCCTTGGGTCGCATTAAAGGTGTCCAACACCGCATTAAATTAATTGAAGAGCGCCCCAAGCGACAACGCCCATACCCGGTTTCTCAGCACAAGCATGAGGAAATTTGCCGTCAGGTCGATGACATGTTAAAGCTTGGTGTCATTCGTAAAAGCAAATCTCCTTATGCTTACCCAATTCTGTTACGTGAGAAGCCGGATGGCACATTCAGATTTTGTGTCGATTTTCGCCACATAAACAAACTGACTCCCAACGACAGTTTCCCTATACCCAGAATCCAGGACATTTTACGACGTCTAGCTGACGCCAAGTACCTTAGCACAATGGATGCTGAAAAAGGTTATTGGCAAATTGCTATGGAAGAAAAGTCTAAAAAATACACTGCCTTCTGCACTGAAAGGGGCCTGTTTGAGTTTAATTGTGTGGCCTTTGGACTCAAGAACGCTGGTGCTTCTTACCAGCGCATGATGAATGAGTTACTTGAGGGTCTGACCAATTTTTGCCTTGTTTACCTGGATGACGTGATCGTCTTTAGTAAGATATTTGGTGATCATAAGCGTCATCTGGAAATTGTTTTGAAGAGGTTTCGGGACGCCGGACTTACTCTTAAACGTTCTAAATGTTTTTTTGGCAAATCTTGGGTTGAATTTTTAGGACATACGGTCTCTGAAAATGGCATCGGGATGAAGGCGGACGCAGTCAAAGCGATCCAAAAGATCTCATCCGACACCATCAAGACTCGCAAAGACCTGAAAGGGTTCTTGGGTATGATTGGGTGGTACCGACACTTTATTGAGCGTTTCGCCGACCTCGCTGAGCCTCTAAATGAGCTGACGTCACCGAAACGAAAGTTTAAATGGTCCCCCAAAGCACTCCATGCTTTTGAAAACCTGAAATCTGCTATTGTTTCCGATTTGGTTCTCACCCTCTTTTTGGCAAACCATTCATTGTTCGCACGGACAGTAGTAGAACAGGTATGGGAGCAGTCCTCTCCCAAATTAACGATGCGGGTGAGGAAAAAGTTATTTCTTTCGCCAGTAAAACGCTCAACCCCGCACAAAGAAATTATTCCACTTCGGAGCAGGAATGTCTAGCCGTAGTTTGAGGGTTGGAGAAATTCCGCGAGTACCTCGACGGACACGAGTTTATTCTCCAAACCGACAATTCCGCCCTTGTCTACCTGGACACCATGAAAAATTCCAACCAACGCCTTATGCGCTGGTCTTGGAAGCTCCAGGAGTGGTCCCCTTATATACAACATATTAAGGGCCGAGACAACGTCGTAGCTGACTTTTTCTCCCGTCATTCCAGCCCCGATAATACACAAATCGAGAGAGAGGGTGACTATATGTATCCTCCGATCCGTGTATGCAAGCTCTCTCTCACGTGTAATTTAGACCGTGACGTTATTCGCGCACACCAAGAACAGTGTCCGGGTGAAATGGCAGAGATTTATGCTGGTCCCGAATTTTCCACTATTAATGGAGTAGTTTACAAAATTGTGGGCAATAAGACGCTTCCCGTCATCCCCACAACTTTACTCCCCAAATTTCTGGCCGAGTTTCATGACTCGCCACATAGTGGTCACTTAGGCGTCGAGAAGACAAAGCGCAAAATATCCTCTCGTGCATTCTTCACGCACATGCACAAGCGGATATCCGAATATATTCGGAGTTGCGATATTTGTCAGCGCGTCAAAATATCGAATCAGAAACCCCCTGGTCTCTTACAGTCATCTCCCACAGAAGCTCCTTGGGAGACGCTTTACACCGACTTAATGGGTCCGTATGTAAAATCACATCCTGGGGGGTATACACATATCTTAGTCGTAATCGACGGCTTTAGCAAATGGACGGAGATTTTTCCTCTCCGTAATGCTACCGCCGTCGCAGTGGGCAAGGTTCTGGAAGAACAAGTTTTCTGCCACTTTGGCATGCCCAAAACTCTCGTGAGTGATAATGGCACGTCTTTTACGGCCAATATCATCTCTTATTTATGTAAACAATGGCAGGTTCAGTTAAAATTTACCTCCCCTTACCATCCTCAGTCAAATTTGACAGAACGAGAGAACCGTACCATTAAAACTATGATTCGAGCGTATTTAGACGGTCAGCCACATAAAAACTGGCCTAAATATCTCCCATTTTTCCGGTTCGCAATTAACTCTTCTGTTCAGGACTCGACCGGTTTCTCTCCGGCTAAAATTTTACTTAATAAAGAGCTTTCCGTCCCTTTTGACATTTCCACTCAATTTTCCGAGGCAGAATTAACTCTCTTAAAAAGTTCAATTGAGAATCCTCAGAGGGACATTATTTTTGATAGGGCTCAGGAATACTCTAAATTGCTCTCTCTAGTTACAGATAACCTAAACCGAGCCAAAGCAAAGCAAAAACACGACTATGACCAGAGACGGCGCCACGATGAGTTTCGCGTGGGAGATTCCGTCGTCATTCAATCCACGATCCGGTCTGATAAAGATAAAGGCGTCGCAGCCGGACTCGCACCACTTTACCGCCCGGATATCGCTCAAATCCACGAGGTCCTCTCCAATCTCAACTACAAAATAATTTTCGAGGACGGAACGATTTATGGACCCATCCATATTCAACGCTTACGGCGATACATCCATCGTGACGCAGATCCTTCTGCTCCGCCACAACTTTCACCAGCCACAGAGCCATCACCACCATGTGAAGTTGTCGTATCACCACATAATTTTGACAATAATGTAGATATTAATTTACGTACAGATTCTAATATTGGTATTAATCTTACTCCAGGTGCCTCTGACACCATTTCCCCTCTTCCTTCCACTACGACGACATACAACGGGATGCCCTCTCTCGTGGACGAATCGGCAGCACAGCCGCCCATTCGCCGCAGTACCCGCTCAACACGACGACCTGCACGGTACGGTCCGTTGCGCCCGAATTCGCAGCAGGATCCTCCTTCCTCCCAGCACCGTCAAATGCCCCTCTTGACCCCCTACACAGCGCGAGACTAACCTCTCAAACAGTTTGTGGCCCCTTTTCCACGCCCACACACGGCGCGAGTCTAAACCCTCAGACAGTTCGTGACCCCTCATCGTCACGGCACTTGGGTTGGTTGGGTGGATCTCTGTCTGATTTTATTTTGGTCGTCTAGTGAATATGCTGGGCGTTATGGGTGCCTGCTCCGACGCACGATTGAGGAAATTCCCTGTCGCGTAGCTTTATAAATATTTAATTACGAGATTTTTTTTTTGACATGATTTATTTTGATTTGATATACATTTTTTTACATTATTTATTTGTTTACCTGTACACATTTTGTTTACATGATTCAGTTATGTATCTTGTTTAGTTATAGACTTTCTCTTTATACAATCACCATCTTTTTGTTTAGTTGTCAATATGCACAATTAATTATGGGTTTTTTTTATCTACCTTTCTTTAAAATTAATTGTACAAACGTTGGAACCTTTCCTACCCTTATGGTCCGTTAGGTCCCCTTTAGTGGTGGCGTGTAACCCGTACCACTGGATACGGGTCTCAATCCGACCCACCCGGGGAGAAATCTATCCCTTCTGCCATCTGGCAATAGCCGGAAGATCTTTCTCCCACTCGGGAAGAACGAGGCAACCTTGCTCTCGTCTCAGCTTTCTTTTCCTCCTTCTTTTTCTCTCTTAGGAAAGATTATTCAGTCTAATAACTCCTTATGAGCAACATCTTTATTTTAGGGTTCTTCTTCTTTAATTATTTTTATAGCGTGTAAAATAATTCATATTCCAGCTTTAAAATAAATATTAGTTATTTAAGAGAGCCCCCCTTTGTGTTGCCGTTATCATTTAACTGCTCTTCACCGAAAAGTCGGGATAACTTTCCTCCAGGAAGTTAGAATTAGGTCGCGAATAGGGACATAAGTACATATAAGAGGGAACATATCAATTTCACATCATCCTCTCTTCCCATTATAATTCAACAATATTCGTTACAGTACCCATGTGACACATGTTAAAGGGGACTGGGTCCAGAAATTTTTCAAAATTTGATTTTTGTGATTTTTTGAGTTACATTATTTTGAAACGGTCTATAATCATTTTTAGTTCCAGCCAAATCATTAAAAAATCAAATTATAGTAGTCAAACAACGAAATCTAAAAATTTCTATTAAGCGTCCTTCAGAATTTAAAAAAGAATGTCAAATTGAAATTGTCAATTAGAATTATTACGAACATGACTACTTATGCAAGCGATTGTGACCATAAAAATACTTCATCTAAATAAGTTTAGCTAAAATTATATTTTAAAAGTTATGTAGCTTAGCTAATTTGGGAATGTTCCTCCATTTTTTGTTGGGTGGTTCTTGAAGGGCATGTCCTGTTCTTCAGAAAAGTGTCTGGACGCCACTGGTTCAAACCTAATAAAGAAACAAAAATGTGTTTTATTGGGGTACTCACGTCGTATATTTTCCATCGCCACTAATTTGTCAAAGTTACGGAGGTTAATAAATTTATTCGTATGGTGAGGTGAATCACTGATAAATATGATTTCGCAAATTTAGCAAAGTTGGTTATTATGAAAACTGTCTTGAAAATCATTTTCGAAAAAATATTTATACACAACTACACATTTCGAAAATGCATTTTGACTAAACGTTTCCATGAATTTCTGTCATCTAGCTTGGTGGTGATACCTTTGATATATAATTTGAAAGAACAAAAAAACATGCCCTAAGGCTGGGTAAAATTGTGAAATAAAAAAGGAGTAGTTTTCAAAATTTACAAAATTTGGCACAATTTTCACAATTTGCGAGATATGCTACCTCTCAATACATATATACACTAAACCAAATTTTTTCACCGGTCAGTGATCATATGTACGTGACTCTACCGGAATGCTAATCATACACCACAGCTCGGTGACAGCTTTATTATCACATGGAAGTAAGTACACCACCACCAACACAGCAAAAACCTTGCTCACGAGAACCGCTTATCACCGGATTTCTTAGACTGTACATAAATACAATTAATGTCTACACTTTTGTTTGAAAATTTATGTATGTACTTTGGTCATGATGTTTTTGTAATCATTCGCTCGCGAAAGAATGAAAGTGTTGAATGGCCAAGTTAAAATTTAGGTTGGATTTTGATGTCAAAAGTCAAAACATGTAAAGCAAAATACATACATAAATCTGCAATTCATTCCTATTATGGAATCGAATAAAATGCTAATTCATGTACACATTATACATCTCCCCCAAATTTTTAGGTACCGTCAGCTTATAATTTTAGTCCGGCATGTCTAAATTCCATATTCAGTTGGAATTGACGGGTTTAATATTTTCGGATGTGTTTAGGGAGCTACATATTTCCACTTGTGAATTGGTCCAAAGATGAGAAATGTCTAAATTAATTAATCACAATGAGGAAAAACTTATATTTAATTATTTTAATTAAACAAAATTTCGATAACGATGTAGGCAACTTGTGGTTTAGGAAATCTTACCCGAATTGAACCTCATTTTGTCCCTATGAAAATATTAAAACTGCAATTTATCACATTATACTTAATAAATTTACATTTTAAAGTGTCTAAAATATTGTACTCGTACATATTTAAATAGAAACTCAGTCTATCAAGCTTATTTATTTAGTAACCAGATGTATGAGGAAAACACACCTAGAAATTGGTTAGACTCTACCACAGGCTTTATTCTATGTGCTAAATGCAATGCAATATGACAGGTTTAATATTCAAGTAAAGGCTTAGGACGGTGCGGAAAGGATGTGATTAATTCTTAATTCACGCTATAAACATTCAATCCTGCATTTTCATGTCCTGGTGTTTCGACCCCTTGCTTTCTGCACGGTCCAACACTGTCAATGACTTGCATGTCTGTATTTCCAGATATGAAAGGGACCATCCATATATATCGTCATCAAAAACTCTCGATTTTACGATCCACCCCCTCATCCAACGTTAACATTAAGGAGTAGGAACTTTTCCCATGGAAAAGATAAGAATACCGTTTGCACCCACCCACTAAAATGATGACGTAGTATATTTACGTTCCCATTAAACGACAAAAGAAAAGAAATGTGGAGAGTTACGTATTCTCCTTGATCGTAAAAACTTGAGCTACGTGCTGAAAGAATGTCACTGGAAAATTTTGTAGAGAGTTTACACTGTCTTGTTATGCTTAAAGCAAATTAGGTGAGAACAATGATCTGATTTGCCCCGATCTTTTGTAGGCATCCATCATGCAGGGACCTCGGCTCGGTACTGATTAAAAAATAATGCGTGGCAAGAATATTTAAGTATGAGAAATGTGTAAGCTGCAGCTGCAAAGGAAATTATTTACGTATGTAAGCGAGATTTAGTTATGTATGTTTGTTGGAAAGATTAATCTTCGCTTAAGATGAAGGACGATGTTTTAATAATAAGGGTGGACCATTTTTTTGTCCTGACAATAAATGGGGGAACTCACGTCAATGTTTATACCATTCGTCACTGCGTAAGATTTGTAAGTTTCCAAACTTGTTATGGCTTTTAAACACATTTGAAAGGAAGTTTGACCTAGGAACTTTTAATAAACGTGTTAATGTTCTTGGTTCGGTAACAAAATTTGGTAAATATGCATTGATTTTTAGCACTTTGAGGTTAAATATCTACAATTTTCGAAACATTTTACGATAAATTGATTAGCGTCAAGACTGTGTAAATTTACAAACCTTAAGCACATCCATAGTTATGAATTTTTCCAATATGTACACTCTTAATAATCCGGTAAAGTCACGCAGGTAATGATTTCTCGGTAATAAATTTGGTAATAATATTTTACCAGGTAGTAAAAATTGGTCACCATGATGGTAAAACTTTGTTACCAAGCCACTACCACATGGTAAAACTTATCATTACCACTTTGGTAGAGTCATATAGTCGTGCTTTTCGGTAATGTTTATTACCAGATTATTTACAGTGTAATTACATTCGCACTAAATAATTTGATAACACCCACTACAAGGTCTACTTGAATGCTCTACCGCCATGGTAGTAAATTTGAGTCTTCCTCTGGAAGTTTTTTTTAATCCCTGCCTGAACTTATGGATGTATTTATTATCAGTTCGGTAATAAGTTCTCATCATGGGGTTAGATACACTATAGTAATTAAAGTTTAGGAGTAGCTTTGCTACCGGATTTTTTAGACTATATTTATTCATGCCCGGATCAAAACGTGTTAAAAATTGCTCTGTAATGATACAATTTTAGTGTTACCAAATTTGCCCAAAAATGTACACATATCTGCATATTACCATATTTATGTAAATTTATGTATAAGTTTTGCCTATTACAGAATTGTAGTTGGCAAATTCATGCACATTTTGCATATGACTTACCATACATAAATAATTCATTAATTAATTGCGTTACCATTGTCATTGTTAAACAGAGAAAGCAAATTATGACTCTTCCTTATCCAATTAATTAAATAGAGGTGAATCATTTATAGACACGCCTTGTCAAAAATTTGTATCCACAAACGCGTAGATTATTTATTAATAGGGAGATAATTATTTAATTGGATATGTATTTTATTTATTAAAACTTATCTAAATAAGTATGTACATACATACATGTCATAATTTAGATGCGTAATAACTGGGTACAAGTTTAAAAATTATCGTCCGTCGTTTAACCTAGACAATACATTTTTTAAAAGATAAATTATTATTGGATTTTAATACAATTGTATTCATTAAATTATACGAAGGACGGCACTATAAACAGATAGTTTACGTAATGTATATATAACTCTGAAACAATTTACTGCTAAACGAAGAATGTGTATAGCATTATTTTTAGAAGTTAATGACTAATATGTACATGAATACATATCTTCGTTTAGATTGTATACTTCTAAAATTTACGATTTGAATCTTTCGATACAAGAGCTTGATGCAGAGGTCAAAATGTCATGAAGTTGATTGATTGATTGATTTCATATTTAGTCATTCAGAATAATGTCATTCCCAAAATGTACGTTCTATGAAGAGCAATGAAATAAGACTGACATCGAAGAACATACATATTGCGGAGCCCAAAACAACTCAAATATGGGGAAAGTATTGGAAGCCATGTTTGGCTGGAAATCTAACCGAAATTTAAGAGTTGATTGTAACAGACGTCCAAGACCCGATTAAATGACTTATGAAAAATCAGTTACCATTGATTTTATCACTAAAAATCATTCGATCGTGAAAAACAATGTTTTATATAATGCATTATGCAGCATTATATAGTATCAATTATACAGTATTCATACAAATAATCCCTCTAATAGGTACCCACTTATCGTCAAGTAAGCGTTCATATCACTAAATTAATTCATTCCTTTATTGACCTTCGCCATCGGCCTACCAACCATACCATTTCCACAGATAAAGCCAAGCAACGGAACTTGCAGCGCTGAAGATAACCTGATCGAACTTCTATGGAACCTAGGTGAGTCTGTTCTTAATTGTCATTGTTTATGAGATAATTGCCATTGTAATCCCATTTTTGCGTCCGGTGATCAGTGGGAGGGTAGGCCGTGTACAAATATTCGTGACTTCCAAAGGGTGGCTAATTCAATTGGAGTAAGTGCAATTTCGCTCGTATTTCGCAGTTACAATTGCGAAATTTAAAAGTAACCTGCTACAAGACTTTCGAAGTTTACATTACTTCAGAGAAAGTTGTAGCGTGAAGATGAGGTTTGTGGGGAGTAGATACTCATACGTAGAGACCGGCATTTGAAATTTTATTAATTACAGAATTCTGTATTGGAAATAATGCTGCAACGACATATTGGGAATAATAATGCGCACTTATTGTTACACAGGCCCGGCTGTTCTAACACCTAGAGAAAGCAATGTTTTTTGTTTTCTTCTAGAAAAAACTCACGCTCAGACTGTGTGGAGATGCTGATTCTACCAATAGGAACCTATCTGCCTTCAAGCTGGCAGATTTTTCTGCAAATATAGAAGAAGTTTACGACGAGGTGGATCCTATTTCAATACTCCACAATTGCTGTGCTGCATCATTTATATTTAAAGTTTGAATAGCCATGTCTTTATTTTCTGCTATCACCCAAATTATCAATTATACCTAGTGCTTAGAGGGCCGCCTGCCATATCATAGGTGTTGTTGTACTTGTGTGGATTAATACGGTTTTAAGTTGACGCCCTGGAGAAATTGAAAAGGTCTACCTTCCTGGAATGTTGCCGGAAACGGTTTTCGAGCTGTTATCCAAGCTGAAGTGTCTTGATTCGGAACTCGTTACAACCGTTCTGAGAGATGGGAGCATTCGAGATTATAATAAAATTTTTTATCTATACGAATTCGCACTTGGAACTTGAAATTCGCACTTGCGTCTGCTCACTTATTATTCCCACTGCGTTTTATTGTCCCGGCGGATATTCTTGCATTAATTTGCATATTGTCAAGAGATGCTAACCTTCCTATCATAAGTAAAATCGAGGCAGTAGATAGTCTTAAACTTCAGAGTCTGAAGTTTAAGACGAATATATGAAGAAGGCAGAACGTAATGTTCTCTTTCTGCCTCAGAAAAGAGGACTCGCTGGTCGATTCCTGTATAAATGTAACGTTTAATGAAGTTCACCTACATACTTTGTAACACAAAAATTGGTATGACGAAAGCACACAGGAACTTGTGGCATTAGTCAAAATCACTCAAAATTTGGAGTCGGCAAATTGAACCCCCTCGAGAAGTTCATTTCATTGGTACCCACGGCTAATCACCCACTCCTCCTATCGCTGTCATTTGCCTTACCACCATTACCTCTGAACACTATCATATCCAATAATTCTGAAATTCTGCTAAGAAAACCTTCTTGGAAATTCTCAACTTGCTTCAATAAACTACCTCAGCCACCTCTTGGTATCGGTTTTGGGATTTTAACCAGACTAGCTTCATCGTATACTTATGGTCAAGATTGTTCAGAAACCTTGATTACCCATACCGCAGTTCTACGATAACTGTAAAGACTCTGGACGAAGATATGTATCGATAAGCAAATCCATTTTTCCGAGAAATATAAATTTAACAGAAAAGGTATTTGGAATGCGCTCGATTCTGTAGGAAACCACCCAAGGACCAGTGATCCTCAAAGCTGGAAGCACTAAATTGACACATCCTCCGAGCAATTGGCCGCACAACTGCTCGCCCTGGACAACGTTATATGTCCGATGTCATTGCGGCCAGGGATGCTGAACATGCTGCTCGCTTATGCCGAATTATACTTCGACAAGTTAGAGAATACCGTGGTGATGTCCTCCTCGTATCCCTCCACGGTGACCACGTTCATGTCGTCCACACCTGTAACTACAGCAACGGGTCCTGCCGCTGCAAATTCTACCAGGGGACGGAAGCGGCTGAATGCCTTCGAAGAAGCCCTCAAGTGCGCCCTGCAGTCAGCCGATTTTCAAGCCGAGACTGGTACAATGTCCTGCTCTATTTCAGCACAGGTGGGCGAGTCCTCACATTCGCAAAAGGTAGGTTGGCATTGGGTATTGTATGTTGGACAACTATAAGTAATGCCAATCTCATAGTGGGAGGAGCCGTACGAATACTTCAAGATGGACCTCAAATTGTACAAGCGGGACGACCTTTCGGGGAAGGCACCATCGGACCACTGGAAGCATGCGATCCGGCGAATCGAGTGGACCTTCCCACAGGGGGGGGAGGTACATCAGCTACTGGATCGGGTCGGAGAGCTCGCCGTGCAGTCCGGAATTCAAAACGAAGGGAAGATGAACTCCATCAAAAGATGGAAGTCCTCATGAGAAGTAGGCCAACGTGCCCTATGATAAATATTGTACGAACCAGAGGATGGTTGGAGGACCCGGTACTTATGTTAATGAGAGATGATGATAAAATGGTTAAGTCGTTAATAGATGCGTGACAATCGTTAGTTTGTAGTTGGTCAATTTTTGATTTTAATTTTTTTTATTCTCAAAGTATCTGTAAGCCCCAGTTTCATTGCGGTCACATGGATTTCCAGGACTGTTATTATGAACGTGAAGAGAGCAAAGACATATTATTAAATTTACTCCGTTATCAGTTTGATGATGATTACGAACTTTGTATAGATTTTGTGAGGAATTTATTTAATGTCTGTGAAAGAAAAATTCCGAAGTTGAACACGTTCTTAATTTATAGTCCGCCTTCAGCGGGAAAAAATTTTTTCATAGATGCCGTGATGGATTATTACTGGAACAGAGGACAACTTGGGAATCCCAATAGATTTAATCAGTTTGCATTTATGGAAGCAACAAATAAGCGAATAATATTATGGAATGAGCCTAATTATGAAAGTTCGAGCACTGATCAGTTGAAGATGATTTTGGGAGGTGACGCTAATACGGTTAGAGTAAAGAATAAGATGGATAGTGCTGTGTATAGAACAAATGTGTCAATCACGTCCATGCTACACATTTCGAAAGTGTGTAACCGTCGCTTCATGTATGTATAGATCAAATAAGTCCATGACTTTTATCACATAATTGTCTGCATTTCTGGTGAGCCAAAAGTTTCTATTAATTGTACGTAAATTTTTACCATAATTTTACGCATTGTACTACGTTTTTGGTATCGTAGTCTCTATCTGGTTGGTTAAGACTTTGTATGAAAATATGATTCAAATTTATATACACAAATGTATGTACAGAAGAGAAGAAATCAATGAATCAATCAAAATGTGACATATTATTTTCCCATAATCGAAGACATATTTCTGCATAACTGACACCTTTGCAGCACGAGTTTGACCAATGCTTTCTGGCATCAGGCACAATACGTGTTAAAGAACTAGTCATCTTTAAGATGAAATCGATTGGAATACAGTGAAAATTTGGAAATCTGATTAATAAATCTGCATAATCAGACCACAAATTTCCCTGTGCGAATAATACCTTACTTGGTTCCCTGATGCAATCAATAAAAATGAAAGAATAATTAGTACTTTATAAAGCCATACTTTCATTTCTGACTTGCCGATCGATGTAAATGCATTACTAGGATGGAGAATATGCAAAATAATGCGCTCTTAAAAATATGTACGCACTACATTTAAATTTAACTATAAATAATATTTTCAAAATTATCTTAACTATGTACATAATTGCAGAACGTTCCTCCATATTTCGCTGGGTTGCGGTTGTGATGGCAGGCAGAATTATATGTTGGTGGGTCTATTGGTTTAAAAGTAGTCGGATCGCCAATTATTGAGACCTAAATAATAAAAAAATCAAAACATTTTTATTGGCGTGGTCACAAGAGCTTGTTATTTCGCGTTGCAAATAATTTAGTAAATTTTGCGATGGACTCAATATTTATGTTCTGAGGTGATTTGTAAATATGATTTCCAAAATTTAGCAAAACACCTATTACAACAAAATTAGTCATATATATGTATGCATGCACATTCATGCTTCGCTATTGTCCCCACAGAGTTCTGCAGTGTATGGATCATGATGAATTTTCGAAATAACTTTGCCAAGTAAAAACCTGGTGGGTAAATGTGCGATAAGACCCATCAGGAAAATATTTCGCGAAACTCTGCAAAACAGTTATGTGGTTGCGCTCTTTTTGTGAAAGATTGACGTGAGTACGCCTATCTTCTTTGGGATTCAGTTTGCGAACCGCATGTGAGGCGATTTTGAAAATATCTATGATTTCCGATTAATAAATATGTACCTACTTTAGTATAAAAAAAATGCAGAATATATTTCGGCTTTGTTTTCATTGATGATTTTTGTGAGGCAATTTTTCTGCTTCTGTTTTTAGAATTTAACAAATAATCGATTCGGGTTATAAAGAAAAAAATTGAATGTTTTAGTGCTTGCAGCATCTCGATACATTTTTTCTATCATCGAGAAGTCCGATGCCCAGTTTTTGGTTTTTGCAACTTTCTGACCCTTTCAAAAAAATTAGCTCCACAAACTATGCAAATTTTAGCCAAATCCAATTTCTACTATTTCCGTGGAATTCTCCGATGTTAATGATTGTTCCTCACATTTGCACAAGTTAAACATAATTACATTGGTACCTTGATTATGATGATCCGAACGTTTCATTATAATCCTTCGCTCACGAAATTATCTAAGATCTTGATTGTCCTGGTAGTGATTTGGATGATATTTTGAAATCAAAACCTAAAAATTAAAACATGCTCAAATAAATATACTATCTTTTGTGTACAGGGTGGTTAAAATGTCACGCTACCATGGAAAATTGTGCAATAGAAAAGTCCCCTAAATCTCCATTAGCTACACGGATTTCTTATTATGTATCTAAACTGATTGCAAAGTTTCTAAAATGTTGAATTTCAGAGACAAAAATATATTTTAAAATTTCCGATTTTAAAATTTCCGAAAGCCATTTAACATATTTTCGAAGCTCAAAAAATTTAAAGTGATTTGCAGACATGATTTCTGAAATTTCGAAAGGCGACTCATATTGGTACAAGCAACGGTCCCTAAAAGATGGGAATCTTAGTGAGGCTTGGTGAAACTGCAGATATTAAATAACTTTTCCGGAAGAGCATTTGCCTAACAAACATTTCCTCTTTTTGGGACTTTGTTTATTTAGTACTTGTAATTATGTAATAGTTTTTTGGATGTTTTGTTGTCAATGGTGTTTCTATTTTATTCATCCAGTTTTTTGCACCTCTCATAGGAAAAATTTCGTCAGTAATGAACCGATTTTGAGCGTCCTACCCTTTAAATTTGCACAAAAATTTACTCTAAAATTTGTGCAATTGCTTTCTTGCTGACATAAATATAAATGTGTTTCTAACGGTACATTTTGGATAATAACTCGGGTAAAAATCAAAAATTCGCTAAATCGAATCGATAAACTTTTTTTAACTGGCTCAAAATGATCTGTGCAAAATTTTATCCAAATCGGTTGAGAAATGGCTGAGATATCGTAAAATTTCACTTTTTTTAACGATAGTAACTGCATACTTAGTAATTTTTGTTGTTATTTATTTGCCTCACTAAGAAAAATATGTTAGTAAATATGAAAAAATAGGAGGAGACTCACTTCGTAGTGCAGTTTCCAAATTGTAAGCCAGATTCTGTTTGGGGAGGGGGATAAATTTACCCGTCTCGAACCCTAAAGGCGGCCGAAGGGAAGAATTTGGCGAAGATTTGACTGTCATATTTACCTGTTATACAAAAAAGATGCCATTTAGACACAAACTCGTTCATAAAATATGTTTGGACAGTGTTTCCCAGGGATTCTACAATCTGCAAAGTTAAGGATGTATTTGCGAAAAGATTTTGCGCAATAAAAATCCTGCAAGGTTGGTGGGTAAATCTGGGATAATGTGGATTCGCGAATTTTTCTCATTGGGAAATTTCCCCTTGTAGCAGGACGTTTATGGTGTGAAAATTAAAAGAAGAGTACCATTTTGAAAACTTGTGAACCATGATCCCTCCTCAGTGACCTCTCTCGAGCGCAGATGAACGTCAAATTACGATCCATTTCTCACTTTACAGGTGAGGCTCAATTATCCGTGAATTTTACATCACTCCATCGCCCTCCCAGGTCACTGAGGAGGGATCATTGTTCACACGTGTTCAAAAATTGTACTCTTCTTCTAATGTTTGCACCATAAATCGCCCTGTGTTTAGATATATTACAAAATAAAATACTGGTCGGTTTGTACCCCAAAATTTTTTACGTACCTTTACAATAAACTGTCCAATTTTATGCACATTTTTATACTTTGAGTGAATGGGATTTTCCGATTTTATATACGTAATATGTCCGAAGCAATTTCCCGAGATGATAACTTTCTAAATTTCTTAGGACACAAATTGCGACGAGGACAAACTTTTTGTAATGTAATTATTTCACTTTTACGAAACTTTGATAACGTTCCACTTACATAATTTATGCGTTAAGCAGATAACTCCAGTCTCATCCAGGCCAGAGCAGAATTGATCACATTTTATGCGTAATTATATGTATGTCCTGGTAAGTAGAAAGTTACCTTCTTTGCCGACCATATGTTGGTGTGAGCAGACTGCACAACGAAATTGGCGACATGCATACACTCTTCCACAGAATTTTCGCATTCTGTGCTAAATCTTTTGTACGAACAGGTTTGCAATTGAAGGTGGTCCAGGTGTGTGCGAAGAGGATGGGATAAATCGTGGAGTAATTGAGCATGGGATGTATACATATGCAGGCAAACTTGAAGACATGTTTGATTCAAACTGGTGCCACAATCAGTGAAGTGTATAAGCGACGCAAGAAAGGGGAGAGATTTAATCGCCTTTGGGGTATAAACTTGCAGGTCGTGCAGAAAGCATTTCATTGAAAATATTTCGAGGTTGATTTACGCTCCTTTATGCACGTGACTTTGCAATCCGATTGAAAAAATTGAGTCGAAATATGAAATAATATGTGAAAGAACTGTGACGAATTTTATACTGGACGAGATGCGATTTGTGTGAAGGTGAACGATTTTTATCGTCATAAACATATGCATACGTCGGATATGAATGAAAAATGACTTTTTCCGTTTATTGACCTACAGTCGCCAAACTTTCTGAGAATGTTTATGGTCACTAGTAGGTCACGTAGGTCAAAGCATATTTTCTCATATTGATCATATTTTCGGGTTTTAGGACATATTCATATTCTCGATCATATTTCGGGGTTTTTTCGTTCATTTTATCATTTTTGGCCAAATTCTAAGATTTGGCAGCCAAATCCACAGAATATGACAAAAAATTCAGTTTTCTCACAATGATTCATTGTGAGAAGCTTTCAGAAATTTACGTTAAATTTCGCCTAAGGTGATGTAATTCATTGGAATGGATTAAATCACCCAAGAACTTGTTTAATTGATAAAGATTGAGCAATACAAGAAAATATATCAAACAATTAAGCCAAAAATTTGAAAAGTAAAGTCATTTTTATGGTCATATTTTGAGGATTTTTACGGTCATTTTTCATTCATATTTTGAGGTTTTATCATTCATTCATATTCGACGTCTGAACATATGTAAACGACACGTAACAAAGTGTGCCTTGGGAATGCGCTATGTGCAAAATTTTTGCGCTGCATGTCCATGAAAATCAATCAATTTTGCGCATCTTTCTTGCATAACGATTGAATTATTTATTTGTACATAATTTAAAACATGCCGGTAACTACCTGTAGCGTGTGTAAGTATGTACATACATATGTTAATTACACGATTATTGTCCTCGATAAATGGATTATGACGCTTGGTTACAATGTATGAATTTTTGTAATGGAAAGATGATCACATTTAAAATAATTGAGTTGATAAAGGCGAATTATTTATTGACATATCGGGTCAAACATTCGCGCAGTTAGGTTAATTATTAATAATTACTTAAATGAATATGTGCAAAAAGTTTGTAATATAAATATGTACATATGTACATACACATAAATATGTCAAATGTATGCAATATGTATGCAAGAAGGAGAAGAGCGATGGAATCCAATGGGATTTGCAAATTTCATACTAATTATATTTGTGATCGTTTGACACTAATTTCGTCCAAATCTGTGAGCATACGTTGGGAGACTTACATTGTTAGATATGCAAGTTTATCGAATTCAAAAAACTAAAAAGTTTCTGATAATAGGATGATATTTCAATAATAAAAAATAGCCCAACTTTCTAAAATAACTGCAAGATTTTTTTTGTACGGGTAACAAACTCGAAAAGATTCATGTTTATTCCGGATTTGAAGAAGGAGAAAGCAGTTTCGATAATGAGGACAATGGCTCCTCGAATAAATTTAATCAAAATAAACTTCCATGACCCAATTAAATAGTTTATGAAAAATCAGTTGCCATTTGATTTTATCACTAAATATCATTCAATCATGAAATATCATATTTTATATCCGCTTTAATATCATATCTTTACGAAGAATTCAAACAAATAATCTCCCCGATAAGTACCCTCTGCTCGGCACAAGAAGACGTTCATCCCACCATTTAATTCATTCCTTTAGCATTCACAATCGCGTTACCAACAATGTCATTTCCTCATATCAAACCAAGTGAAGGGACGTGTAGCACTGAAGAATATATCATCCAATTTCTATATAACCTGAGTAAGACGCATGGGGCTATTCTTAGTTGTTATTATTTATGAGATAATTGCCATTGCAATTAAATTTTGCGTAGTGTGATTAACGGGAGGGTAAGCCATGTAAAAAAGGTGTGACTTCCAAAGGGTGGCAAATTCAAAATGAAATTTCGCCAGTGTTTCGCAGTTACCATTGCGAACTTGTTTAAAGGCAGAATGCTACAAAACTCTCGAAGATTACATTACTTCATAGAAAGTTGTAGCGTTAAGACGAATTTTATGGGGAGTAGATAGATGTACGTAGAAACTGGCATTTTAGATTTTACCAGAATTCTGTATTGGAAAAAGTTTTGAAATGAAATGTTGGAAATAATAATGCACACTTATTGTTATACAGGTTCGGCGGTTCTACAACCCAGAGAAAGCAATTTTTTTTGTTTTCTTCAAGAAAATACTTACTCCCGGACTGTGTGGAGATGCAGATTCTACAAACATGCATCTATCTGTGTTCGAGCTGGGAGAGTTTTGCGCAAATATGGAGGCCGTTTGAGACGAGGTTGATCAGACTGGATGGGACGACTTATTACAGACTCAAAACCTGTCCCTCAGGCAAACTTGAGGATAAGGTTGAAAATTGAATTGCAATTTGGAATTCATTTATAATGTACAAATTGAAGGAATTACAAAAATGTTAAGGTTGCACTTATATACATATTAAATGTTATATGGTGATCCATTTAACTATACCATCGCAATGGAATGTCTGGGAATATATGAGTTCGGTCGTTTCGAGACGCTGACAATGTCATACATATCAGGATATTGGATGAAGATACGAAGTTCCCTCCGGAATGAACTGGTCTGAGCCCAAGTTCCCCCACGCTCGTCCAACCAGTATACACGATTGAGGGCAACGATGTACCATAACCAATAGTAGCACCCCCCGCAATAAATATTCATTCACCTCCAGTATACGACATTTGTGACTGTTCGGCGTCTTCTTCTCGTACCTTCCTTAGTGACAGTGACTCTACAGACTATTCCTCACAAACTCATCCAGCGTCTCCTTCCCCAACAGATGAGGAGATTTCCTTCCTTGGAGTTTTTCGTCGTGCCCCCACCCCAACCTTGGACATTACGACCCCCACCTCCTTCTCCCACACGGAATTTGAAGTTTGGTGACATTTCCTCGTCCTCTATGAGTGAATCGTTCTGTGCAAACTCGTCCAGTGATTCGTTCTATGCAAACTCGTCCGACGAAATCTCCTTCCTCGGCTACTTCGAACGAAGCACCACCCCAACCGGTGGTACGAGTTCGGATAATACCTGCCCAGTACTGTGCCTCCTGCCCGGTAACAGTGTTTATCGAAGTGCTCCAGTACCACACCCATCCTCACGGAGACAGATTCCAAAGCTCGGTAATAAAATTCCATTATTCCATACCTCCATCAGGCCCAAAAACGGGTGCAATTACCCACTTCCCTAAACTTTAATCCGATGTCTCACCATCGTCTTTACCGTCCACCGTTACGAACCGTTTCCCTTGCATTAAATCCCACTCATTTCTACCCGATGTCTCCCTGGTCATTCCCACCTTATGGGAAAATGTCTCATACGACCAGGTCACAAAGATCATCCTGGTCAAACTTCCCTTCTTCGAAAAACCTCATATGAAAACATTTCCTACATTTTCAAGCTCGAATGGGCCGATGAAAAAATCCAACACCCCGCTCTAATCACTGACCTCCCTGATCTTCCAGCCCCTTACCATTTTTTCAACCATCTTCAAAATGAACCAAATGTCTATCAAGACTTCCTCGCCTTCTTATGGCAAGTCGCCATTTCTTTTACTGTACTCTACCTATGGGCCCGTCACACCCCCTCCGTCCTACCCTGGGTAGCCACCAACGCGAGCTATACCCCTGTGGTGAAGGCAACCTCGCTGCTGAAATCGGCCATCCCCTTGGCCCCGCCAAGCGACTGTGGCACAGAACGGAAAATCGCCCATCGCATCTTGATCGCCTTGATAACCACCTCCGTCCTCATCACCTTGGTTTTCGTGCTGTGCATGTTTGGTTGTTTTTATATATGCAAAAAACAAAAACTTCGCCAGGATTCTACCCGCATGGACAAGGACCGCCAACTTCGCTCGGTCGAACGACACAGACGTCGCGAACGGGAGATCTAGATGCAACCTCTCCAGGAGCGGAACTCCGCCGCCAACTTTCCTCCTCCTCCTCCCCCACTTCCTGGTGCACAGGCTTATTATCCACTTCCCCCACCACCTCCTATTACCCCCCGTTAACTTTCCGCGCCACTCCCCCCACTCGGTTCACAACCCCAATCACCCGGATCACCGTTCTGAACACCAATCTCATCCTCGATTTCTGAAATACATATTCCCAACTACATATACGACCATCTTTTCGAGCACAGGGCCCGCACCTAAACGATCGACCACTCATCATTTTTCTTTATTACTACTAACCCCCAAAAATATTACATAAACCATAAAATGCATAAAAACATTTTTTTTTCATTAAAATAGTTAGTCGATATTACACCTTATACATTTTAATTTTAAATTCCGTAGATATACCCCATGGTGGATCCATGTTTACCATACGCTAGGGTATCACACAGGATGCATCTTATGTAAATACAGATACTTTTAACTCATCTCATATTCCCCCAACCAAAAATTGCTCTTGCATCAGAGACTCGCCTCCACTGCACGACAATTTTTGGGGAATCGTACCAGTAAGATTACATTATAGCGTATAGATTACGTACCTGATGGTCCTCTCGACATTAGTTATATAGGAGAACCAAAGACGGGTAAATCGAAGAAAAACAAACACAGGAGAATTTATTCTCCTGTGCCTTTTCTTCACATGTATATAAAATATGTTAGCCATATAGCATAGCCATAGATTTAACAATCCACCACAGAATTCTTTCTGCAGTGTATTATTTTGCACATACATCAACAATTTTTTTTAGATATCTCACATAGCGTATCCATATTCTTTAAGACAACTCATCACGCCCTCCGCTGTGATAGCTACTTTGTACTTTCTGGACATTTCATGAACCGCGTACACGGCCCAGAAATACGCTTGGTACAATGTTATATATATATCGATAGCAATAATACTAACCCCCGACACATTTTTCGCCTACAACGACTCCCCCCCTCCTCATAGGGACTCTTCATCTCATAACGTAAGCGCCGTGCTCGCCACCGTACATCAATTTTCAAGTCACGAGACCTACCCATAACTACGTGCCAACCCACCATTCCCCCACTGAAACTCACAAAACCTGTTTTCAACGTGGTCAAGATTTTTTTATTATGCCTACGTGCCAACCCACCAATCCCCAATTCTCTCTCAACTGAAAATCACCTTCAAAAACCAGTTTACAACGAGGACATGTCCACTCTCCCAATCAAACTATCCTACAAGATAACGCCTCCTCCGCTTATCTGACGTCGCGCCTCAACATTCATCATCACAAACATTCGTACTTCTCTTCAACCAGTCTGCTCTCACCTTCCACAGTGCAAACACCTCTCTCCGTCTACCCAGTTCACACCCAGCTTCCACACAGTTCACCAATAACACCCACAAACATCCTGACTTCTCCCAGTGCCTCATGCCTCGATATACACACGGGGGCTACACCTACCCCGACCCCGTTCCCCGCAGTGTGTTAGGCCGTCGTATCCCTTCCCCTAATCTCCTCACCGCTCCCGCACCCTCCGGTACTTGGGTACAAGAGTGGAATTCACATCGCAACCAACTCGTTCCCGTGCTTCTTCCACCACCTTCGCCCCCACCAGTATACACTCTTGACGACGAAGAAGTGCACCACCCAGTCCCACCCCCCACAAACCACACTATCTCTCCCCCAGTTTACGACATTTCCGACAGTTCAGTGTCTTCGCATCGTGATTCCTCTCGTGATAGTGATTCTACATACTTTTCTTCGGCCCCAGCATCTCCCACTCCGTCAGAAGAGGACATCTCCTTTATTGGAGCTTTTCATCGCGCCTCACCCCCAACCGTCGACATTACCACCCCACCTTTTTCGCCCCTAGGGAACCTGACGTTCACTGACATTTCTTCGTCCTCCCTGTGCTCGTCTATTAGTGCAAATTCGTCTAGTAGTTCAAACTCGTCTAGTGGTGGCACCTCATCGGACGAAATCACCTTCCTCGGATATTTTCAACGCGACACCACCAGTGGTACTACTTCGCACCTGCTCCCAAGTGATTCAGTACATCGCGACGGGCTCCAGCAACACATTCATCATCTCGACGACGGATTACGATACCCGGTAATAACATCGTTTTACTCCCTACTTCTTGCAGGCCCCACAAACGGATGCTGCTACCCCCTCCCTTAGACTCACCTTCCCCAATGCTCTAATGCCTCAATACCGCCCTCACCGTCCGGTAGAGGAAAACTCTCGTCGCCTTTACAAGGCCTTAACCACCCGTGGACGCCCACAAGATCAGACCACCGTCGACTTCATCCACGCCAAACACAGTTCTTACAAGAATCTTATCAAGCTGATTCCGTACGACGAGCCCACAGTGGTGCGCCGTGTCCTTGGTCTTCTCCCACAGGACTTCGTGCTCCGGTTACCCGACAATCCTACACCAACCTTTGACCAACTTATTAAGGACATTACTCCACATTTGGCGCAGCGTGGTCATCATCCATCTCCTCAACCACTATGTCTTCCCCCCAACCAATAAAAGCCGTCCTCTACAAACAGGAACTTTCCCTCCTCCACAGTAAGGAAAGCGAAGCCCTCCACCAATTACTCATTTTAAACAAACCTCCCATTTTCCACACACCTCCCCTTTCGTCCCACCGGACCTTCACCAGCCTCTATAGATTCATAGACGATATAAAGTTCAAAATCCAAGAATTTGAGGCGCGGACAGTGTTCAACGCCGCCCTCGTCGCCCCCAATGAAGACTTCTTCGACACGTTCCGCCACCATCCATCCTTCTCCTCCCTGTATAAGGACATGAGAGATATTGAACTTCGCCAATGTAAACCAACTTACCCTTCGTCCCCTCCACCAAGCCCTGGGGTCGCTCCTTCATCCCCACAATACACACCCCCTCTATCCTGGACTCCGAGCCCGCCACCCAACTCCCCTAGAACGCCATCTCCCTCTCCGTTTGACCCCCGGCAATTCCGACGCCGACAACCTCCACCCTCTAACGGTGGCCCAAATTCTGACACCACCGGAAGCCCCGACCCTGCCAATCCCACATTTCCACCTACCTCATCCACCGGGGAGCCCACACCTCCGTCCAATCACCCCAACAACACAGTGCCTCCGCCCACCTCTTTTGACCTGCAATACTCTCGACGCCCATTTCACGATGTCACTCCCTTCCGGGATCCCCCGGCAGACACCCCTCATACCGCTGACCAAGCTCAAGATCCAAGAAACAACCAGGCTCAGGATCCAGGAAACACCCCACCTGCTCTTCCCAACCCCCCTCGGACTTCCGCCAACTTGGGCGAAAGTTAAAGAAGCCGCAACGTTTTGGAGTGTTCAGTGCTCATTATTAATTTGATTGATTTTTGAATTATTTGTATGATTTCATAATTAGTTGATAATTGTATTATTTCTTTTCCTCATTTACATTTCGCAAAAGAAAGGTGGGAGTGTCAAATCCATTGGTATTTTCATGAATGTATGTATTTTATGAATATTTTAAGTCCAATGGTAATGTGGGGGTGATTGAGACGCGAAGAGGGAGAGTATGAAAATGAGCGTCATTGTGTGGGTAAGTGTCTTTGTTTGAGAGAATTGAGTCGGTCGACATTGACCAGTAATATTTAATTGTTAAAGTATAATTAATTCCAAGTTGTTATCTAAATAAAGTTAATTATCAGTTTAGCTTCAGTGCAGCTAGACTGACTTTATTTTAGAGGAATTGATATACTAAAGTCATCATCTTTACAGTTCTTGCCCTTCACAGTCAAAATCGGTGATCGCTAGCTAACGGGTAGTTAGATAGGTCGTGATCCCAGTGGAAATCTCGTGCAGATCCCACATTCTGGTGACCTCGACGTGATCGGGTCGTCAAGAAGTAAAGAAGACATCGTGTGGCGGAGAGTCCCAGAGAACCGGCCATAAGCAGACAGGAGAGGATATCGTCAACCTATTTTGCCACTTTGTGGGCCCCACCCTGAGCATTCGGGGGGTTAAGAGGTGATATCTTTCTTTAGTTTATACATTGGAGGGAGCCAAGTAACCGGTAGCTGTCCGTGAGGTCGTCCCATTCAACCTGTGGAGTATTTTTATAATACAATTTTGCCACTTTGTGGGCCCCACTCTGAGCATTCAGGGGCATTTGAGGGAAGAGATTGTTCTGTGCTGTTGACAGTTTCGAATCTTTCTCTAATTGTTTTTTTTGTTTTGTTGGATTTGTAAATTTTGAGGTGCAACCACAATGGATCGTGTCAAGATGATGAGGAAGTCGGTGAGAACTGCCATCACTAAAACGGTCAACGAGGTGGAAGCCGAATTTACAAAACCTCAACTCGCAATATTGCACCTTCAAGTCATGATGCAGAACCTTGAAAGGAAGGCCACTGAAGTTGCAGAGTTAGACCAGAAAATTTTGGAATTCATGTTAGACGTTCCGTGTACACAAGAGGAGTTTGATGTGGAGAAGACGAAGAATGATGAGTATCAAGACAAGATCTCAAGAGCAAGATTCCGAGTCGACGCTGTTATCCACAAAACTGCAAGTTCTCTCAGTCCAAGCGGAAGTTATGCATCGGTGTACTCAGAAGCAACGACTCAAAAGCAGAGAAGCTTCAAGTTATCGAAAGTTGAACTCAAGAAATTCAATGGTGATCTGAAAGAGTGGCTAGGATTTTGGTCCCAATTTCAGAAAATCCACGAAGATGAGAGTCTACACGACACCGACAAGTTCCAGTATCTCCTTCAAGCGATGGTGCAGGGTTCTGAGGCAAGGGAATTGGTCAAGAGTTACCCCCAGTCAGCCGAAAATTATCCACTGGCCACAGAAGCGTTGCAGCAGAGATACGGAAGAGAAAGTTTACTTTTGCAAGTATACATTCGCGAGTTGTTAAAGCTGGTGATGTCCAATGTCACTCAGAAGGACAAGCTCCCCTTAGATCGAATGTATATTCAGATTGAGTCGCATTTAAGAGCACTGAAGACTCTAAATTTGGCGACAGCGGATCCAGCAACGTGGTTGTTCCCGTTAGTAGAATCCAGTTTACCAGTAGAGACCTTGCAAGCTTGGCAGAGAAGTCCCATGTCGAAGCATGATGGATCAGCAGACCGCCCACCAAGGACCTGTTTGGACCTGCTGATGGAGTTCATAAAGGCTGAAGTACAGGGACAACAGCAAATTGCCTTAGCTCAATACGGTTTTCAAGATTATGGCGCCAGAGACAAGAGGAGCAGAAGAAGCGAAAAGGGAGAAAGTCCAGTGACCGCAGCTGCCCTGTTTGCTGGAGACGCCAAGGTCCAGTTATGCATTTTCTGTGCGAAGTCTGGACATCAAAGTCACGTGTGTTATAAAGCGAAGAAGATGACACATGAAGAGAAAATTGCCAAGATAAAGGAAGCTCATTCTTGCTTCAAGTGCTTGAAACGAGGACACGTTTCGAAAAAGTGTCAAGTTTCTGTCAATTGTCCCATCTGCAACAAATCCCACTATCCAGTAATGTGTGAGGAGAAGAAGCTGAGTGAATCGGACGAGATGAAGGAAGTCACTGAAGGTGTGAGAACAATGGTATCCTCGCAGCCGAGAATGTTGACACTGGAATCTTCATCAAGCGATCCGAAAATAGTACTCAGAGGGACTATGCAAGTTAAAGTAACCGGAGCGAATAATCAAGAGAAGACAGTAAGAATTCTCGTGGACTCCGGAAGTGATGTCAGCTACATCAAAAGTTCACTAGCCCGTGAGCTGAAGTTGAAAGCGATCGGGAAGCGTGTATTTCAAACTGAAGTGTTCGGAGGAAATTTCGAAATCTCTCAGCGAACAGAATATGCAGTTCAACTCAAGGGGATCAACGGCGGAGAAACGAAATTCAATGCATTCTCTGAAGATAAGATTTGTGGAGTGTGTAATCCGATCCCGCATGGACCCTGGGTGACTGAATTAAGAAAATTGAATGTGTATTTGTCGGATGTTGCATCGGAACCATCTGAAATACATATATTGATCGGGTCAGACCAAATTGGAAGATTACTTACAGGAAGAATGATCAAGGTCAACCCAACTATCACTGCCACCGAGACGTCAATTGGTTGGTACTTAAATGGAGAAGTACCAGTGCAGAAACATCAGTCGATGGCAGCTAGGAGTATCGCGATGAGCACGCGAGCTCATGACATCAGTGTGCTTTGGGAGCTGGAGAGCATGGGCATCAAGGATCCAGCGCTACAGTCCAGCCGTGAAGATCATGACAACAAAGTCAAAGAAGATTTCCAAAAGAATTTGAAGAGGTCAGAGGATGGCAGGAAGCTGCCGTGGATCAACGGGACTGCTCCTCTCCCTCATAATAAAGAAGTAGCAGAGAAAAGACTGATCTAGGCTACAAAAATGATTTGTCCCAATCGTGGAGTGAAGAGGAGCACCCAGTGATCACGAAGCGAAGTGTGTTATCCTTGGCAGCTCAAGTTTTCGACCCGATTGGATTCTTGTCCCCAGCAGTCCTACAATTGAAGATGTTGCTCCAAGAAGCGTGGGCGCAAGACTTGAAGTGGGATGAAGAATGGAACGGGGTAAAAAGTAATGAAGTACTGAAGTGGTGTAATCAAATGTCATCACTTTCAGAAATTAGAATTCCGAGATGTGCAGTAAAGAATGCAGCGGAATTGCAACTCCATGTCTTCACCGATGCAAGTAAAGATGCCTACGGTGGAATAGTATTTGCCAGATGTTCTCATGGTCAAGGGGAGGTCAGTATCCAGTTGTTGTTGGCCAAATCAAGAGTAGCTCCACTGGAGAAGAATCCCGAAAAACAGAAGAATGGCAATAAAATTACCATCCCGAGATTGGAATTACTGGGATGTTTACTAGGAGCTCGACTGATAGAAACGGTCAGAAAGTCAATGGGATATGAAGACGTCCCAACCGTGTACTGGTCCGACTCAACAACAGCCCTGGCGTGGATTAGAAGAGACGAAGATTGGGGAACATTCGTGGGAAATCGTGTGCGACAAATTCTAAAATGCACAAAGAAAGAATTTTGGCGTCATGTCCCTGGGAAGATGAACCCAGCAGATCTTCCCTCCAGAGGCTGCCCACCAAACGAGTTATTGGTATCCAGATGGTGGGAGGGACCAGAGTGGCTGCGTCAGAATCCTGAAAATTGGCCCAGTGACGTCAGCGCCCCAGATGACGAAGAGATCCTTGTGGAGAGGAAGAAGACTTGGGTGAAAGTGGCAAAATTTAAAGAAAGTTCCAAGCCCAAGTTCCTTTCATATTACAAGAATGTTCGGATTGTATGCTACGCAATTCGAATATGAATGGCATGGATAAAGAGAAGTTGGGCGACCTTACAGTATCAGATCTGAGGCGGGCGGAAATAGCAATGTTGCGGGTAATCCAGTCAAGATATTACTCCTATCCGAAGAAACTTCAGTTGCGAGTGGAGAAGATGGACGATGGACTTCTTCACGTCAAGACAAAGTTGGAGTACAAGGATGACACTGAAGGATTTAGGTACCCAATCATGCTACCTCAAGACTGCCCACTTATTCATGAATTGATTCGAGAAGTGCACCGGATGCATTCTCATGGAGGAATTCAGTTTATTTTAACGAAACTGAGAGAAAAATACTGGATCCCTCAAGGAAGGAAGACCGTGACGAAGGCGCTGAGAGAATGTCTTGCCTGTAGGAAACAAGACGCCAAGCCTTTACAAGTCAACCCTGTGGCGCTGCCGAAGAGAAGAGTGACCACAGGCGAAGCTTTCAGCACAACTGGTGTGGATTTGGTTGGTCCACTATTCCTGAAGGATAGGAAGAAAGTGTGGATCGTGCTATACACTTGCGCCGTGTACAGATGCGTCGCTTTGGACCTGGTGGAATCTTTGAGCTCTGAAGCATTCATCAACTCATTGGAGAGATTTATCTGCACCTATGGGCGTCCAAACAGACTGTATTCGGACAATGGGACTAATTTTGTTGGTGCTCCTTCCCTTTTCATGAAGATTAATTGGGATAAAATAGAACGAGCAAGCCAAGTCAAACAAATTCAGTGGATTTTTAATCCTCCTACTGCAGCCTAGTGGGGAGGATGGTGGGAGCGCCTAGTGAAATCAGTGAAAGATTTGCTGAGGCGAATGTTGGGGAAGTTGTCGCTGACGCGTGATGAGTTGACCACGTGTTTGAGTTCGGTAGCAGCGACCATCAACGACCGACCTTTAACCACCGTGACCGAAGATGAAGAAGATCTCGTCGCCTTAACACCAGCAATGTTTTTGAAGGGAACGAAGTTAACCAGATTCCCAGAAGCAGAAGTGATGACAGGGAAAGAACTTCAAGTTCGCTTCAAACATGTCAAGAAGTTACAGCGAGATTTACAGTCCAGATTTAGAAAGGAGTATCTCGCTGAGTTGGTCCAGAAGGCCAGTGAGAAGAGGACTCAAGACCCCCAAGTTGGCGACGTCGTCCTAGTAGGAGCCGACAACAAGAAGCGCTTGGAGTGGTCATTGGGAAAGATCATCAAGTTGAATCCGGGAAAGGATGGAGAGGTGAGGTCAGCTCTTGTCAAGACAGCCAAAGGAATTTTGTCAAGACCTCTACAGCGTCTCTACCCTTTGGAGATCCCTCATGGAGATGAAGAAATGACCAAGGTTTCTCAAGAAATTCTGATCGAGAATTTGGATGAAGAATCAGAATGTTCGGAGCACGGGGAGGAACCGTGCGGAAGTCAAGTTGATCAAGCGGAACCAGAAATCGTCACCAAATATGGGCGAAAGTTAAAGAAGCCGCAACGTTTTGGAGTGTTCAGTGCTCATTATTAATTTGATTGATTTTTGAATTATTTGTATGATTTCATAATTAGTTGATAATTGTATTATTTCTTTTCCTCATTTACATTTCGCAAAAGAAAGGTGGGAGTGTCAAATCCATTGGTATTTTCATGAATGTATGTATTTTATGAATATTTTAAGTCCAATGGTAATGTGGGGGTGATTGAGACGCGAAGAGGGAGAGTATGAAAATGAGCGTCATTGTGTGGGTAAGTGTCTTTGTTTGAGAGAATTGAGTCGGTCGACATTGACCAGTAATATTTAATTGTTAAAGTATAATTAATTCCAAGTTGTTATCTAAATAAAGTTAATTATCAGTTTAGCTTCAGTGCAGCTAGAGTGACTTTATTTTAGAGGAATTGATATACTAAAGTCATCACCTTTACAGTTCTTGCCCTTCATAGTCAAAATCGGTGATCGCTAGCTAACGGGTAGTTAGATAGGTCGTGATCCCAGTGGAAATCTCGTGCAGATCCCACACACCCACTTTGAGTTTAATTTTCTCAGAAATTATAATAGGTGGGAATTTAGTTCAAATACAAATTAAAAAAAAACCTATACTACTCTAAATTTTAGTAAATGTCACCTGTTACTCCACGTACATAATTATTTATAGCCAAAATTTTTAAAACGTCCTGGCGTCAAAACCATGCAGAGCATAAATGTGGGATGAATCAAATTTATATATTTGCCTCTCCTATTATTTCATGTTTCCGAGGACAAAAATATTTCACACCACATTACCTGACACAAACCAATTATTATACATACACCCTGAATAAATATGCAATGATTCGAAATAATAATCATTATCATCTTAACGTCCTCCCCCTCCATCTCGGGGAGCTCTTAAAAATACCCCTGCTGCTATGCGGAGCCGTATGCACATATTTCATGTCTTGATTCAGGCAAGAGAAATAACTTCTTTTATTATTATCTTCATCATCGGTACCCTCGTTATCATTCATTTTTCACAACTAACTTTCTTCACAATTACCTATGAGAAATTCTAAAAATTATTCGAAATGTCTGACGTGGAGGAATACCGAGACACAAATTTCGCTAATTAATGGAAATATGCGAATTTTTCCTACTCAGAAATTTTTCATTGTAGCGTGGCCTGTATACCATTTTTCCGTTTACATGTATCATCATTTTTTTTACGTACCGTTAAATAGTCCAATGTTATCCGTCTTCATCCGTTTTGTCCTTCTTTACTAATCAATGCACTTCCACACTTTGAGTTGACGGGTTTATCCGATTTTACGTAATATTTTCAGAAGTACGGAGCGATTTCCACTTTAGCAGAAGATGATAACTCTCTAACTTCGGACGCAAATTGCACCGAGGCCAAACTTTTGGCTTGTACATATGAAACTTTGATCAAGTTATATTTAATTTATGGGTTAAGAAGATGACTCAAATCTTATCTCATTTTGTTCAGAGCACAATTTATCACATTTTATTTATAAATACTCAATCATGTTCAAAACATATCTACAAAATCGTTTTTGTAAATATTTAGAAAATCACTTTATTTGTCGAGCTTCATTAAACGTATGTTGGTGAGAGGAGAAGACGACACAAATAAATTGGCTAGATACACTCTACCACAGAATTTTTGCATTGTACGCTAAATCCTTTGCATTCAGCAGGTTTGGCACGGAGGTAGGTTGGAGATTGTGCGAAAAGAATGTGACCAATCTTGGGGGTAATTGTTATCCCAAATTATCAATAAATAAGATGGGTTTATATGCCCGAAAATTAGATGACCTGCTTGATGCATGATCGCGCAAACTGGTACTACTGTCCACGAAATGTGTAAGCGACTTAAGAAAGGCGAGAGATTGCATCTCCTTGGTTACAAAAAACTTGAGCGTCGTGCGGGCAAAATGTCGTGTACAATTTTGCACAATATTTTGGTCTCCAGCGAGTTATCATTCATTACATGGAACATTTATGCTCAATTTTATGCGTTATGTTGAACATGAAATTGTTACTTTTAGCACATCCTTTATGCAGGTGCAGTCAGTCGTGACTGACGGATAAAATTGAGTGGACCATGAAACAATACGTAAAATATGTAATAGGCTAGCAACTGTGAAGAGTTTTATGTTGGGGGAGATGAGCCATGATAATTTTTATGATAAACATCGCCATATAATGAACTGTGGCTTGGGAGTACGCAACTTATACTAGATTTTTACGATGTCTATCCATGAAAGAAATCAATCTCGCGCATCTTTCCTGCAGTGGGATTGAATTATTAAGTAGGTTCAGCTACTTTATGTGAAGACTTTGTCTGTCTGTCTGTCTGTCTGTCTGTCTGTCTGTCTGTCTGTCCGTCTGTCTGTCAGCAGGATATCAGGAGAACGGATCGAGATAATCGAAATCGGTTTTCGCCATCATACATAGGACCCCAGGGGGAGGATCCTATCAACTTTTGGGGGCAACCGGACCACACCCCCTTTGGCGACAGGGGGTGTGGTCGGGAAAATAGAAACCCTGCTTATGTAAATGTGTCATACATACGTTAAACGTAAGCAGCAACATACCTAAATACCCTACGTACGTATGTACGTGCCTGTCTACTGACTCACTCTGTCTTCCTACCAGATGTCACATTTAAGATACATTGGGTGACATGCATAAAATTCGTCACCAAGTTGACAATTTTACGAAGCCACGTCTTCTCAATTCGGATGGCAAAGTACATATTATTCGCACAGTTTCTGCGTGTGCCACAAATCAAACTCGGGTACGTGGGTCTAACCCATCACAGATAAGCTTACATAATTATTAAGCACCACGGGTGTGATACACTTTTCCTACTTTCGCCTGACTCACATTACTGTCTCGGTCTCTGCCACACCCAAAAATAGGCTTCAAAATAATTAAAACTATTAATTAGATGTAAATTTTCAAAATAATGATGACTTCCAAAACAAAAATTTGCCTAATGTCAGGTCAGGTTAAATTAATTTTATTTATTTCTATCCAAATGCAACACTACAAATAAAAATCAATAAAAGTTACGCAAGTGTGAGTAAAGAGGATGGCACAACCATGGATAAAATTGACCCAAATTTGTGGGAAATTTATGCAAAGTTGTAGAAAATTTATCCACAGTTCTCCATAAATTGGGCAAAATATATTCAAATTTGTAAAGAATTTATTCCAAGTTTAGGAAAATGTATCTAAGGTGGTGAAAAATTGATTATAAATTATAGAAAATTAATCCAAATGTGTGGACAATTTTTAAAAGTTGTACACAATTTGTCCACTGTTGTGCAAAATGTGTCCAACGTTATGGAAAGTTTATTCGAAGTGGTGGAATATTTATCCAAATTTGTGGAAAATTTCTACAAACTGGTGGAATGTTATCTAAAGTTGTGGAAAATGTACGCAAAGTGCTGGAATATTTATCCAAATTTGTGGAAAATTTCTGCAAAGTGGATAAGAAAATTATCCAAATTTTTGAAAAATTAATTAAAAGTTTTGTAAAATTTATCCAGCTATTACATTAATTAAATATGCCACACCACTGTTCTTCTTATCCCAATTTTTTACTCAACCTTTGGTGAATTTTAGTAATTTTTATTTAAAGTGAAACATTTTTTATTTATCTAATTGACTTAAACAGAAGATTTACTTGTCCATGTATCTATTTTTTTACAGCCGGCATTATTACCTTCCTAATTTACTTCGTGGCATTTCATCTTTTCCAAAAATCTTGGAATCGACCCGATTTTCGATTTTTATTGGTAAAAAGACCCGACATTATAATTCGAGCCGCCACCACTCCCAAGAAAACGATACCACTCTAGTGACAGCTTTCTTTGCCACGGGAACGGGAAAACACACCCCGGACGAGTATACCGAATGGATGGAAAACCTTCTCGGTCAGGGGGAAACCCCGGTAGTAATTTTTACTCAGCCAGAATTTCAAGGTATTTCCAGAAATATGATTTATGTAGCTAGGAGAGCAGTTGCTGATGAATATGTTTGGCTTACTACGTGCACTAATACATACGTAAAAGCAATCACAAACTTGTGAAAAATTGAATTCTTTACCTTTTAAGACTCTAAAACAAGTTTAACAAGAAATGGTGCAAGCTCACGAGGGATAACTACGTACAATACTTTTTAATTTTTAATTTAAGATTGAATTTAAGATCGAACATTAATAAGCGTAAGCGAGCTATCAGTCAGCTGCAAACCAGTTTTAAAACAATTTTCCCAAAATTTATCAA